GCCCATCAACTTCCGGAAGGAGGGCGGCTCCTCGCTCCATCCAGGGGGCAAGCGGTTCATGGCGGGGGGATCGGATCTATGGGTCCGCGTGTTAGATTTCGACACTGGGGCGGAGCTGGAGTGTCTCAAGGCAAGCAGGGGGAGGGCGGGGGTATGAGAGGAGGCGCATTTACGATGTAGTGTAAAGTGGAGAAGGAAAAAAAGAGGAGGAGGCGTTGTTGGTTTTTTGACGGACGCAGGAGATATGTCACCGCCATATGAGACATCCATACACATATATGCGCATATTTCGCTGTTTGCAACAGACGCACTCACGAACTTTCCCTCTTTATCGGGCGCAACTGCTGGGCTCTTGCTGCTTGCAGTACGTGATTCCCTTCGGTCTTCCTCTCTACCCCCCCCGCCCCCCCCCCTCCCTTCCTATGCGGCAGCTAAAACCATACCACAAACCACCCACGATTTATTTGTTGTTTATTTGGGCAGGGGCACCACGGACCGGTCCGGTGCTTGAGGTACGCCCCCGACGGAAAGACGTACGCGACGGGGTCGGAGGACGGAACCATCCGCCTGTGGCAGAGCAACGCCCCCTCCGCAGCAGCCGGGGCAGCGGCGGGGACAAGCGGTGCAGACGGAACCGCCGCCCGGTGATGAGGAAGCGAATCTGCCGGGCTCTTGTTTGTGGTTTCCGCCGAGCCAGCTAGTGCACGCGCGGAAGACGATTGATCGGTGCACGCGTGGTCGTGGATGTCTTGTTTCGTGGGGTTTCCGTCGCAGGGAGGCTTTTTCTTGGTTTTTTGTCACGTCGTCGCCGACCGCTCTCGAGCTCTCTTTTGTTTCATCACATGTCGTTCTTTTTTCGTTTCTTTTTGTTGTTCCTTTTTCGTGAAATTCGGTCTTTCGGGTCGGGTAAAATCTTCCGTTCCGCTTTTTTTTGTTCGGGATTTGTTTTGGTCGGTTTCGTTTCGGGAGGGGAAGATGGGGGCTCCTCTTGAAGGCTATTCTGAGTAGCCTTCGGGGTGTGGAGTGACCCCACCCAGCCTACCCATGCGCGCGCAGCACGCTGTGCTACGGACCAGACTCTTGAAAAATAGGCACGGATAAAAATCTACATGCGCCCAACCATAGCGCTGGACAGCACGGGTGGATGGCATCGCATCGTGCTCCTACTCCTACTCCCTGTAGGAGAGAGTCCGTTTTCGTGATATCTTATCTTTGCTCGGATTTGTGCTTTCGATCGTTCAGCCGTGGGCGGAAGGGGGTGTGCTCTCGTCGGCTCTGCTAGATAGAGTCCTGTTTTCGGTGAGGATCCGTGAGTCTGATTAGGACAGTGGGTTGTGCGGCGGTAGGTGTTGGGCGTGATCTGATCGGTCGACATGTGTGATGCATGCGGGTGTATTTGAGAGGGACGGGCCGCCGAATGCTGAACGGCGAAAAGGGGGCTGGAACGTCGGTGGACAAAAGAGAAAGAAAAAATGAGATGTCTTGGATGTTTCGCGCACGTCCTTTGGGGAGCAAATTGGTGCCGCGGTTTGTCATTGCGAATAGTTGTCTTCTTCAATTTTCGATGT